CGTAGGGGGCTTGTAGGAACGCGAACCTGCCGAAGGGCGTGATGAATGTTGTCAAGGGCTGACTCTCTACGGCCAGTGGGCACTGATGGTAACCCTTAACCCGCGCCCCACTGGGGTCTGTGTATAACACGCCCTACTGGGAGGGGGGCTATTCATAGCCCCCCTCCTAACTCCGAAACTACTGGACCGATCGTCAAAATTCAAACGGCGTCTGATAGCCCCGGAAAAACTGTCGAGCGAAACCTAATTTGATTGACCTCGAGGTCACCGATGACGTCACAGGTCAGGTCAAAGTAAAAATTATTAGCATTTTGGCTTTTTTTTTGCCAGATTTTTATTCACATTTCAAAGTACACAGTGTCAAATCAAGTCACATTTGCATTTTGGCTTGTTCACATTTTGGGCTCTGGCCGCCGTCTTACAAGTCAGATCAGGCTCATTTTCGGTTTCCACACTCGTGAACAGATGCTCTAGATACTTTGAGGGTACCAAACTCGTACTTTGATTTTCAGGTCAGGGTCAGGTCATCACAGGTCACGAAAATATTATATCATGCGTCGGTCACGTGACACATGTTTTATGGTCCATTTAGGCCATAGATTTCGAATTTGATGTCGTCTGTGTCATTCGAGGTAATTTTGAGTCGAATTTAGCTTAGGTCAGGTCACTTTCAGGTCAAAAAAGGTCAAATTTTGAAGTTAAAATTGTTCAACAAAAAGGTGTCTATTGGATGCAGTTTGAGCTCAGAAACACGATGGTGCCATTTATATTGGTGTACGATGTCAAATACGTACTGAAAAATTGATTTGAAAAATTAATTATTGTGAATTTTTTGCAATAATGCGTATTACTTGGCCATTTTTGAAGATATTTAGCTAAAACTTGCTAGAGTTAGTCATAATCATGCGTTCTGTCACATGTATTCCGGTTTTTTTTCGAAAAGTCAAAAACTTTTTGAAAAAAATATAAATTTTGAATATTATTATATAAAATTTTCGAAATTTTCAAACTTTTGAAAATCCGAGATAGTAGTTTGATAGCGCGGTCAATTTTGAGTCCTTTCATCCAAAGAAATTGGATCTAGCTTAAAAGCTGAGCTCTTGGGAGCGATTGCCGTGGTTCAATGTTTTGCGTCGAAATCGGACGAACATGACGTCACTCTGACGTCATTTCCGGCCGACCTATGGTAGCTACGAAGTTCAAATTTTAACACAAGGTTTCAAATTGATGCAGCCGAAGGTACTGAAAGTTTGGCGTCGATCCGTGAAGCGGTTTGGAAGTTATTGCAGAAAAACGGGAGGGGGTTTGGTCGACTTTGGGTTGTGTGTGCAGATTCGAAATGAAGGAGTTCATGGACCCGAGTTCATGGACTTGATGTAGAGCTCTGTTAACTCTCGCCGGTACAGGGGGGGGGGGTTTGATGCCCCCCAAAGGTTTTTCGCGAATAACTCGCGTAAAAAGCGGCCGATCGCGACGAAACTTCCAGTACCCTCGCATTAACCCGCGCACCGACGGGGGTCTGCGCCAACTTCGTACCGACGGGGGGGGCGGATGACCGCCCCCCCCCCTGAGATCTCGAGAACGAAGCAAGATAGCGACAAGCGGTAAACGGCATCGGATACGCACGGTCAAGGTCTACAATTTTTACCAAGGTCATTTTCAGGTCAGGTCAAAGATGACGTCACAGGGGTCGAAAAAGTCAAAATGGCGGCGCTAGATATGGAGAGAGTTTTTCTCGAATCACTTTCGAATTACTCAAGATAGGAACAAACTAAGGGCATGATCGTGATCCTCTCGTCAATCCGCATCGAATGATATATAAGTTGACCTCGAAAGGTCAAGGTCAAAGGTTGACCTCAGGTCACGTGACCTCGAGGTCATCATGTATATCATTCGATGCGTCTTGACTAGCTGAACACAATGAGACCATCCGCGCGGCTGTATCTTGTTTCTGTACGGAGTTATTGGCAAAAAACCTTTGGTGACCTTTGATGACGTCACATGACCTTACAGCTGCCCAACAGCAACACAGACCTCAAGGTAGTGAAGGTTGATCGTATATGAAGTCATGTATGGTATATGGGGCCATTCCGACCCGTTTTAGTGGTAAAAACAGGGAGTTGATTTTTCCCCCATTGACTTATATTGGGGAGGTCGCGAAATTTACCTGACCTTAGGTCACCGATATCAAAATTCCGAGATATACAAGTTGTAGCTACTAATGACCTTATAACATCCTGCGACTTTCAAAGGATTCCGACATCTACTGTAGCTCTGGCACGGTGACAAAGTTGCAAAAAAGTGACTTGAGGTTGGGTCATTCAAAGTGACCTGGTGACCTGACCTTAAAAGTTGGGCGGTTCAAACTTGCACACCTTGTGTAAAATTGATGAGGGAATAGTCGTACCAAATTTCGCGGCGCTAAGTGCCGCGGTTTTCCCGCTATTTGCGAGAAACCTCAGGGGGGTGGGCGGATATCCGCCCCCCCGTCGGTGCGCGTGTTAATCAATTTTACACCTACCCTGAAAATTTCATGGCTCTGACCCAAATGGCCTTTGACCTGTGACCTCTTTTCCGAGACCATGTTTGGCCGGAATCGCGATTCGGCGTATGTCGGCTCGCATTAGCCGCGCGTTTGCAAGCTTTTCGTGGTTTCAAACGTGCAAACATGTGATTTGATGTTGCTCCCATACATTAGGGTGGGTGTCAAGGTCACCTGAAGGTCAGGTCAGGTCATTGACCTTTGGTGACCTCGGGTGACCTCGGTTCACTTCTCGAGTTTTACATGTTTTTAGGCTAGTTTTTGGAGCTGAATTCGAATTTAGCAACCATTTGAACATTTACGAAGTAATTTTGGTGCCTTCGTAACATGTTACGAAGCTGTCAGAGGCGGTTGACACGTATTACGAATACCCGTCACAACCCGTACCGGTTGACCTGACCTGACCTGACCCGACCTGGTCTAAATGCTTCAAAAGACATCATCTCTGATAAAAAGTAACACGATATTCGTGATCAGCACCCCGGAAAACCACATGGCAGCCACACTTTACGACTTTCTAACAGGTCCCGATTTTCCCGGTTTTCGGGTCATTGACCTGACCTGGAAGGTCGCCCGATGACCTAGGACCTTAAAATTGGGTATCATCGGCTTCCTCTCGTGACGGGCAACACGCTCGTTTTTTTCCGCGAAGCTCTAGCTCGATCAGGGGCCAAACGCGAGGGGGCTCGTACCAACCCCCCCCCCCTTGTGCCGTCGAAGGACGCAAAATGGCCTGTGCCGGCGAGGGTTAAAATCTTTGTGACATCATCCTTTTCCTCGACCGTCACCAACGTGTTTAGAAATGGCACCCCTCAAGTGCCATTTCTTGGTGAATTTTCGTGCTGATACGTTTAGCGGTATAGAAGATATTGCAGAAAAACGGGAGGGGGCTCTGTTGAGCCCCACCCCTAGTAGGACGCGGATTGACGCTATTATTCTTGGGGGAGGGGGGCTTCGCCTTTTGCGGTTTATTCTTTTCTGTGCAGATAGAAAATGTTTGTTGAGCGCGTTGAGCTAGAGACGTGAAATTTGGTGACTTTTCCTGGGTATTTTTTGGAGCTTTGTGGCTTGTGCCCAAGTTTTGAGCTCCACCCTGGCGCAGAGGCGCCTCCAGTGTCAGTTTTAAGGAAGCATGTTTTCGCCAAACTATTGCTACTAGCGGTGAACGATGATCAGGTCATGTCGTATGGTGGCGCCACCAACTCTGCTTACCGAGGACCAGGCCGTGTTGTATGGTGGCGCCACCGTCAGGCCAGCCTGGCCACTGCTACATACCGTCCCACCTACCGTCCCACCTACCCTACCGTCCCACCTACCGTCCCACCTACCGTCCCACCTACCGTCCCACCTACCGTCCCACCTACCCTACCGTCCCACCTACCGTCCCACCTACCGTCCCACCTACCGTCCCACCTACCGTCCCACCTACCGTCCCACCTACCGTCCCACCTACCCTACCGTCCCACCTACCCTACCGTCCCACCTACCGTCCCACCTACCGTCCCACCTACCGTCCCACCTACCGTCCCACCTACCCTACCGTCCCACCTACCGTCCCACCTACTGTCCCACCTACCGTCCCACCTACCGTCCCACCTACCGTCCCACCTACTGTCCCACCTACCGTCCCACCTACTGTCCCACCTACCCTACTGTCCCACCTACCGTCCCACCTACTGTCCCACCTACTGTCCCGCCTACCGTCCCACCTACCGTCCCACCTACCGTCCCGCCTACCGTCCCACCTACCGTACTGTCCCACCTACCGTCCCACCTACTGTCCCACCTACCGTCCCACCTACCGTCCCACCTACCGTCCCACCTACTGTCCCACCTACCGTCCCACCTACCGTCCCACCTACCGTCCCACCTACTGTCCCACCTACCGTCCCACCTACTGTCCCACCTACCCTACTGTCCCACCTACCGTCCCACCTACTGTCCCACCTACTGTCCCGCCTACCGTCCCACCTACCGTCCCACCTACCGTCCCACCTACTGTCCCACCTACCGTCCCACCTACTGTCCCACCTACCCTACTGTCCCACCTACCGTCCCACCTACTGTCCCACCTACTGTCCCGCCTACCGTCCCACCTACCGTCCCACCTACCGTCCCGCCTACCGTCCCACCTACCGTACTGTCCCACCTACCGTCCCACCTACCGTCCCACCTACCGTCCCACCTACCGTCCCACCTACCCTACCGTCCCACCTACCGTCCCACCTACCGTCCCACCTACCGTCCCACCTACCGTCCCACCTACCGTCCCACCTACCGTCCCACCTACCCTACCGTCCCACCTACCGTCCCACCTACCCTACCGTCCCACCTACTGTCCCACCTACCGTCCCACCTACCGTCCCACCTACCCTACCGTCCCACCTACTGTTCCACCTACCCTATCGTGCCGCCTACTTGTCGGTGTGCCCGCTTCACCGACCGTCTCTGTTGGCAGGATGAACACGTGGCAGGGCACGTTCCCCACGGAGGACACGGGCGAGGACGGGCACGTGGGCACGGCGCCGTGCGCCACGTACCCGGCCAACGGCTACGGCCTCTACGACATGGCGGGCAACGTGTGGGAGTGGACGGCCGACTGGTGGGCGGTGCACCACGACCCGCGCCCGGCCACCGACCCGGTGAGCGCCACTGGGGGGTCACCCACCCGGTGAGGGCGGCTGGGGGCGGGGGGGGGGGTGCACCGACCCGGTGAGGGCGACTGGGAGCGGACCTTGTCCTCGTCACGTTGGCGGGTTTCTGGGTGACGCCACGCTACTTAGTACTTATTCATATTACCTCAAAGCAAGCAATCGTTAATACACGATAACAGCTATTTACCAATTCGAGAAAAAAGTCGTGAATAACGGCCGCGCGCGGGTGACGCGCAACTGACTCCGGACGGTCGATGGCGCGTGCTGCCACCTTTTGAAAATAGAGAGAAAGGGTCTTCAGATTTTTAGATTTTGCTACGTCATGTTCTAGGGTCATTGCACGCGCTGGACTGGGATCGTCAATGTCTCTAGGAATACCTACCCTAGCTACTGTTAAGCCTATGGGCTGATAGAGAAATTATCTTACCTCAGCATCTGAAACTCGTCGCTAGAAGTTTTTGGATAGCAGACGGATCAACTTTTGAGGGCCACCAATTGAAAAGTAGACAATTTTGGGATGAATGACTTCGAATAGGGGCATCAGCCACGTTCTTCTACACGTTACACCGAATAACTTCGAATTTTTCTTAGAAAAAAAAGAATGATTATAACCTTAACCCGCGCCCCGCTCAGGGTCTGGATTTCAACGCCCTGCTGGTGGGGGGGGGGGGTTGAACGCCCCTTCTAACTTGGCTCCTGGGTCATGTAGCACGCGGAAGGCGGCATTCGACAGAATGTCCAAAATCAGAACGAAAACACTGGTAATTTTTTTTAAGGTCAGGTCAAATTTCACGTCACTAGAGGTCATCAATGGAAGAATTATGCCTATTTCAACATTTTTCGAAAACCCGGCAAATAAATCGGGAACCGATAAAGCAACAGCGCCGCGGAAAAGCGCATTCGATCGCCCTCTAAACTCTCTTTCTGAAGTGTGCCTTCGGACTTGAGTTGACCTCAGGTCAACGGTTTAGCTTCCAGAGGGCAGAAACGATTTTTTATGAAAAATGTTTTTCTTCAATAACTTTTGACCCATGAGAATCAAAGGGGCAAAACCATGCGAGACTAATAGCGTTTTGAACGAACATGGTACGACAGAAGGCTGGTGTGCCGGAAAGCAGCAGAACATGCAGTCAAAGGAACGGAAAACTGGCAATGAAGCTTACAAAAAAAAAGTTTCAGATATAGCACGTCATCCGTCACAGGTCATCATCCACTCAGGTGACTATCCACATGCCAGATCTATCATATAAAGGGTGTCCGGAAAGTCCTGGCGCTTTTCAGTATTTTTAAAATAAATGCCTTTGGTCCATAGATACTCAACAATAGAACAAAACAATGACCACGAACACCAAGCCACATGCTTCTGCTAAGTGCCCATTCATTGTAACCACTGTCTGTGCCGATGACGGCCTCGACGCAAGGGCGGAAACTCCTGCGGTTTTTGATGATGCAGGGTATTTCCTGTCCTCCCATGCTGTCATGATACGAGTCTTCAGCGACTGCAGGCTGTGATGAGAGGTGGCCTAGAGCTTATTCTGCAAAACGCGTAGCATGCCTTAGTCGAGCGGGTTAAGGCTGGGAGAATAAGGTGGCCTAATCTCATTTCACCACGGTGATCTGGTCCGCCGAGCTCCTCTGTCAGTTTGGTTTGGACGGCAGCGGCGTTGTTGGAGGGCGCTCCGTGCTGTTGAAATGCGAAATGACTCTTAGGGCAAGTCGCCTTGATCCTCGTGTCCAGGAGCCCCTCGTGGACCAGCCTGTCATTCATTTACATGACCTTGACGAAGACGATGGAACATTTGTGTCCATCAGACCCCAGATTTTCTTCGATCGCCGCTGAAGTGCTGCTTCAGTCTCCGCAGCTTTGGCATACCGTGGTCGTAACTGAGGGAGAATATTTTCTAGGAAATTTCTGAGCAGGAATGCACCTTTGCCTGCTCAACCGTTCGCCGGGAAACGCCGCATCGCGCTGCAACTTGCGCCTCGTTCAAGCCGCACCGGGCCCCCGCGCGCGGGCTCTCAGCGACAAGGCGCATCTTCGCCCATATACCTATCACTGAAAACGGTTGCAAAGTCATATTCACGCGACCCCTAGCTGAGCGGTGAACGAGGGGTCATATCTGTGGTGATTGGTTGAAAGTCCAATAACCACAGCGCGCGTTAGACGACGTCCAAAAGAGGCGTCAGGACTTTCCGGACACCCTGTACATCATATCCAGACTCATTTTGAAAACTTAGATTTCATTTTTATGACCGACTTCTCGTCATTGTAAATTGGACTGATTTGACATTGTTTGACCTCCCTGTGTCGTCACAGGTCAAATATCAAGGTCATCGATGTCCTATCCTGTGCATCTCGATGAGCTCTTTCGAATGCCGTTTGAGTGTTTCCGATCCGGCTATTGGTTCCGGAGATACGACGGGGGGCAGGACGTGGAACTTGCCAGACCTCAACGGCGAGCGGGTTCATCATTTTTACACGTTCCCTGACAATGTCATTATCAGTGACTCAGATAACCTTTTTCCGGGAGGTAGTTTTGGTGCATATGTATCATGTTACGAAACTATACAGTAGAATTCGCTTAATAAGTCTACGGATAATAAATCCAGCCGCTACTTGTGGCCGCTTGAGTTGTTCATGGATTTTCTCCACAGATAGTAGATACCCATAGTTAATAAATCCGCTTAATAAATACATGAACTCCGTTAATAAAGCCACTTGGGGGTTTCGAAGTCCGTAGTGCCGTCTCCCCACTCGAAATGTCGCATCCAACCCGTTCCCAAAGAACCGCTGTGGGGCAGCGGTCTGCAGCAGTTGGAGTTCTAAAAGTAGAAGTTCAGGGCTATAAAGAGCGCAATCAACATGCACCTCAAAACAATGTTTCCGGCAAAGCAGGCACGCCCGGCTGTTCCGCGTTGGCATAGCAGGCGTGACTGGGACTGATCGTGTATGGTTATGTAATGTTGACTTAATTGGTGTGACAGCTGTGCAGTGTGCGCTGGTCACTTTCAGGGGCATTTCTACGGTCGCAGGTTTGGGGGATATCCAACCCTGAAACGAACGCCTTGATAAATTAGGCTGCATTACGAAAGTCAAATTATTGGGGGCCCGGACCCCCGCCACCCCACCGATGGCGGAGCCCCTAGTCACTTTCATTTGAATAAGTAATTGGCAATGGGGAATGCTAGCCTATACGCTTGTATTGCAGGGAACGAAACGTGCAGCTGCAATGCATGCTTTTTGAATGAAAATGACGGATAATAATAATATAAGAATAACCAGTAACCTCATAATATAAATCAGAAATAGGAGCCAAAAAGTTATATTTAAAATTATCGAATATTTCGCTCCTGGAGCTTCGTCAGCGATAATTACAGAAAAACGATAAATACATAAAAAAGCGATAAATACAGGAAAAAAGTTTTCTGTAATTATCGCTGACGAAGCTCCAGGAGCGAAATATTCGATAATTTTAAATATAACTTTTTGGCTCCTATTTCTGATTTATATTATGAGGTTACTGGTTATTCTTATATTATTATTATTCATCATGAGCCTCAAGCAGAGTTTCAGCTTTTTATGAAAATGACGGACTCCGGTTAATGAAGCCACCGTTTGATAAATCCAAAACACCTTGTATGTACCAAGGCGGATTTATAAAGCGGATTCCACTGTATAAGTGGTGGTTAACATTACTGGGGATAACAATCTGGCAAGATGCCTACTGGTTGACCTTACATGACCTGACCCGACCAACTCCAAATGCATGAATACATCACCTTTGCTCAAAGTTAATATAAAATTCGAAATCATAAGCCCGAAAAAAAAACATTCACTTCACTTTGAGAAGCTCCAGCAGGTCCCGGTTCCTTTTGGGTTATTGAACTTCAACTAATGACCTAGGACTTTGGAATCATCGGCGACACGCTCATTTCTATCGCGAAGCTCTAGCTAGATCAGAGGCCGAACGGCGGGGAAGGGGGTCCAATGGACTCTCCCTCCCCCCTCCCCCCTATACGTTAGCGGCTGGGAAGCTCCCATACGGGCGAAGGGTAATCGGAGGCCTGAGATTTACCAGAATATCAATCTAACCACCGCCGTCTTTAGTACGTTCTTAGGCGCCTAGACATTTCAGTTGGGTTTGGGTAAAGGTAGTGTGCGTCTTTAGAATAAGTCCGCCCATGTTGGGTAGGTCGGCTCGGTCCTCTGACACCGGGGTGTCGTGCTGTCTCATTGCTGAGCTGATGTCAGCCAGTCCTACCATTACCGCATGTGGTGACCTAAGCCAGCCCCGTTCGCCAGTCGCTAACTATAAACACGCGGCTGGGTGCCCGCTGACCCCATTGACCCTGTGCTCGCCAGACGGGTCCGGCGTCGGGCACCGACCGCGTCAAGAAGGGCGGCTCCTACATGTGCCACCGAGACGCCTGCTACCGCTACAGGTGTGCGGCGCGCAGCCAGAACACGCCCGATAGCTCAGCGGGCAACCTGGGCTTCCGCTGCGCCGCCGACGGCCTCCTGGCGTCCTAAGGTCAACCGCGGGGTCAGTGCCGAGGTCACCCGCGGGGTCAGTACCGAGGTCACCCGCAGGGTCAGTACCGAGGTCACCCGCAGGGTCAGTGCTGTTAGCGCCCGCGGTGTCAGTGCTGTTAGCGCCCGCGGGGTCAGTGCTGTTAGCGCCCGCGGGGTCAGTGCTGTTAGCGCCCCGTCCGTGACACGTTGCCCCTCCTGGTCGGCCAGGAGGAACCACGTGTGATTGTGGTGGTGGGGGGGGGGGGCCGGACTGCTGGCCGCTGTAAGGGGTGTTGGGGGGGGGGGCTGGACTGCTGGCCGCTGTAAGGGGTGGTGGGAGGGGGGGGGCTGGACTGCTGGCCGCTGTAAGGGGTGGTGGGGGGCTGGAGTGCCGACCGTGGGGCTGTAAGAGGAGTGGGCTGGACTGCCGCGGGGCTGCGGCGGGGGCTGTGCCGGCCGCTGCGAGGGGAGCTGGAACGCCCGCGCTACCTCCGTGGGCTGGGTGCGCAGGAAAGTGGAAGCAGTGTAAAAAGCAGGGTGACGCGGACATCTGTGCTCCCATTGGAGTGGGGCTAATACCACTGATCGCACCGCGCGCTGCACTGGTGGCTTCTGAGAGGTGTGCACGTGTCAGATTGGTGTTTGTTTGTAAAATGAGCATAGAGACTATAGTCATAGAGACATTTCAACTATAGTCTGACAAACCTAAGAAATAAAATGTAATTACATTAACTACACGACGGGTACTGAAATATAACGGGTGTCTACTAAATAATGAGAAAAAGTTTAAATGCCTATATCTCGGTAATTACGAAACTTAGATCATTCAAAATTCGCATGCGGATGCACCTATTTATTGGTTATCAAGAACCTTCGAAGCAACGCACTGAGTTCATCATGTTTCACGTCAAGCCGCACGAGCCACCCGACCCCCTCGATCAAGCGTCGCGGCACCTCTGCGTTAAACGAGACCGATAATTTCTGACTTCGCCTCTTCAGATGTCGGTCCAAAGCTATGGTCTAGTCCCCTGAATATATTTCTTTCTTGGTAAAGCCTCACAAGTCTTAAAGCGGCCAAAGCTGCGACACGCAGGGTGAATTGTCCTCTCGATCTTCCAAGGGTACGCCGACCCCCTCCAACGTTGTGATGGTTTTAATGGCATAATGGCCGAAAACTAAGTCGAACCGGAGCTTATAGCCACCACTTGGGTAATCTACGTCTTGTATGACCTTGGCGACCCCCCTAAATAAGGAATCGACACCTTTTCTAGCCGTCCCTCGCACTAGAACACCCTTCCAATGTTAACACATTTTGGGCATATGACTGGCAGTACCTCCCCTTCCGGAGACACCGTCTAGCCACATCAGTAAGCTGGAAACCGGCAAGGAAACTTGTCCTCAGGTTGCAGTTGCATCACCCCTTACAAGAGCACACAAACCGGCAACAGATGACATTTCTGTTCCTGGGAAGGCCAAACAGCTTTCGTCACCCATTACCATCTCCACCTTGTGACCAGTTGACAGCGTGCCCCTGAACGGCCGACGCAAACGCCGTTATTCTCTGCGTTCCTGCGCTTTGGTGATAACGGGTGTCCGTGTGCACCTCAGTTACTTAACTGCACATTTTCTAAAGCAGAAACTACGACATAATAGTGGCAAATATTGAAGCGTCACGCCAGCAGGCACATTGACACCCCTCACTTTGTCCTTCGCACCCCATAGCAGGGGATTTTATTTCTGTGGCGAAACTCGCAGAGTTACAGCCACTTCAGACTTTTGTCTAGCATGCTGAACGTTTCCTCTTGTCCGAAATATCATAAATATGCGATTGGCACTGGGCTAAAAGCCTTTAATTTATACTTAGAGAGCCATAAGTGTCTTCTCCGGTATAGATCGGTAATTTTCCTTCAGATTGGCGAAGATTTCTATGAACCGTTCATGCTTAACGTCCTCCTGGCGACTGACCGTGGGATGTCATGTTTTCATTTTGTGTGGTTAACATTCGCAACAGATTGGTCTTTCATCATGTGAATTATGCATATCATGTGTTACCATTAAAGGTGCGTATCAACTCCTTAGAAATTTTCTCATTATTTAGTAGACACCCGTTAGGCAGTTCTAATTACTTAATAGTACAGCAAAGCTTACAAATTTCCTTTAAAGCAGACGCTCTAGATGAAATCAAGCTATACAAGAAAACCATCCAAGAAAACGTCTCGTGCAAAGTTTCTTGGATGGCTGGATTGCATTGCAATACTGCATCAAACATACAGGAAAGAATCGATTTAAAGCGCAGCCGCCGTTGATGCACGTGTGACGTGCCTTTATATTGCCTCAAATGTGTGTATCCGAGAACATATCCCTCGCGACTTTTCCCACAAACTTTCTCGAAACCATACATTTCCAGTCATCAAAACACTTGCAAAGTGCTTCGGGCGCTTTAACTCTGTTCTTTGTTAGGCTTGTCCGGTTAGCACGCTGCGAGACTAGCGTTTACATTCCTTGTTGGTGCGAAGAATGCGCTGCAGGGGCGCGGCGGCTGCAGTGCTGTCTAGTCTGTATAGGTACCCCAACTGGCGACGCCGCCCCGTTTTCATACACTGCGCGTGGTGTCACTTCATGGCTGTTTTCTGTCAGATGCCCCATTATTTATTATGAAGACTGAACGTGCCCAAACACTGCCGGCGCTTACACCGTGGTAGTATGTGGCACCGCAGGCGCCGACGCGGCGGTGGAACGGTGGCGGCCCGCCCTCGGTCGGCGTGGATCGGCCCGCTCCCTGCCGTCGGGAAGTGCGGTGTAGCTCTGCAGCACTGTTGGCATGGGCGCCGTGTGCGCAGTTTGTGGCCGGCCGGCAAGGCTGCCGTCCGGCGCTGACGGCTGTGTCGGCGGCGGCTGCTCACTCCCGTCCGGACAGGCCCCGGATACGGCACCGGCCGATAGGCTGTGGAGCCCTAGTCATACTGGGCCGGGGTGGGCGACACGAGTCCCGCCAGACCCGTCCGCCGGCGAGATACGGGCCGGCCGGGCCGCCACTGGCCGGCCACGGCCCTGCCGTGGGCCACAGGCTACTGCCGAGATGACCGCAGAGCTGGGGCACTTGTGCGGGCGCCGGCTAGGGAGCAGCAGTGCTGGGTATGAGTGACCGGCGCCGCTCACGTGCTCTGGTGCGATACGAACGGAGTAAGGCGAGCTCGTCCCCGCGCTGCCTCGCCGTATGGGACCCTGCTGTTATAGCGGTGGCCGCTCTTTTGAACGAAGGTCGCGCTCGGAATGTTGTGCAACAACAGCATTGTCCTCTGATTGGACACTTTGTCCTGCCATTCATCTTTGTTTGAACAACTGCGGGAGGCCTTTGTCGAAATACAACATTCTGATCAAATTTAAGACAAATGAAATCCAATTTAAAGCAGATAATTTCTAAATTAAAAAAGAAATGAACGACGGGTTAAAATGCGTCACATTCAGCCTAAAACAACTGACGTTATTTCGCGTATCTGTTGTATTAAGTTGAGTGCCACGTGTTTTAACCCACCTATCAATAATTGCTTTAACCTTCCAGGCGGTGGGGGGGGGTATTTTTTGCCCCCTTTAGTTTTTTTTTCGATATATCTCAAGAACCGCTGCGCCGATCGTCACCAAACTTTCAGTACCCTCCCGTGAATAGCTACTGCACATTGTGACCTAAAATTTTTCTTCCAAAGGCTATGATAGGTTGGCCGCTAATGACGTCAGAGTGACGTCATTTCTGTCATTTTCTACCAAAAAAAGGTTTCGCGGGAAGAGCTGTCAGGCCTACAGCTTTAGAGATACAGAAAAATGTTTCAGACATAAAAGGTGTAGAATTAAGAGGGCAACAAAACTGCTGTCTCGGATTTTGAAATTTTTGGATTTTGACCCCAAAAATAAAAAAAATAGATTTTTTGAATATAATAGCCGAAAAATAAAAAAAATGAATTTAGAAAAAAAAACGGAATATATGTGATAGTCCCTACCGCCTTCTATCTACATACCAAATTTGAGATCGATACTTCTTTTTTTGGCCAAGTTATAGTGAAAAAAGTGTTCAAAATTGATGACGTAAAATTTTCAAACTCAATTTTATGCAATTCTAGACCTCGTAGCGCAAAAAAAAGACCACCATTAGACGTCCCGTGACGAGCTGCATCGCATTAATACCCATTTATGCAAAAATATCAACTTTGAAATTTGACCTTTTTTACCTGACCTTGACCTGACCTCCACCAGAAAGTGACCTAAACCGTACCTGATGGTCTTATAACCAACACCATTGAGTTGGAAATGAAAAATTGGCCATAAAACATACATCACACAACCTTAGTAAAGTTGGTTTCATGTGGTGACCCTTGGTGACCTGACCTGTAACCTGACCTGGTATGACCAGTGACCTCTAATAGCAACATAAGTACTATAAAAAAAAGTTCGTTTTTTTTCAAAAGGACGCTGGCTCCAAGTATGTTTTTCGAACAAGCACGTGTTTTAGTGAGCAAAACGAGCAAAAACTGAACCTGAGAAAATCGAACGTCGTCTAATTTTAACATGTGATTTCTTCCCGATAATTTCCATATGTGCGTTTTGGAACCATATATGAGAACAGTGGTGACGTCAGGTCATACTGTCGAACATATAACTATCATGGATGGAACTGCTTACTCGATTATAAGCTCGGCAACAGTGAAAAACTAAGTTTCACCCAAATTCGTTGACACTTGTCCCATGGCACGGACATTTGGGTGCCTGCTGCCACCAGTGACGTCATCATAGTATGTTCATTTTTAAGAAACAATTTCCAGCTACTTACCGTGCACAATTTGAAATCGGTTATTTTTTCGGTAAGAAATTCTTCGCCAGACACTGAAGCTGCCAAAACTCACGTGAGAGCTTCGATATTGAACTTTGAGCCAGCGTCCTTTTGAAAAAAAACGAACTATAGGCAACTGACGCCCTTTCGCTGATTTTCGACAAAATGCGTTTTACTCGGTGTTATAGCGCTTTCCCTAGAAGGACCGTGAACGGTGAAACATTTTATCTTTGACCTGACCTGTGACGTCATCAGTGACCCTGAGGTCAATGAAATTCTGGTTTCCCTCGACAAATTTGACAGGGCTATCGAACGCCGTTTGAATTTTCCGGATCCGTCCAGTAGTTTCGGAGATCTGGGGGAGGGGCAAAAAATGCCCCCCCCCCCCCCACCGCGCGGAAGGTGGCCGGGAGGCCCACCGCCTGCCGGGCTAATCAAGAAATCAACTGTTTTACATTGGACTCCATTTGTCTTAAATTGAATCGAGAATGGTGTAATTGGCAGAAGCTGCCTGTTGCAGTCCGAGGTCGCAGCCAGAAGTCGTGGTGTGGGCCGGCCAGCGAGCCGGCGGTCCCGTGTCGCTATGCGCCACATTCACCAAAACAGATACAAAAAATAGGGTCAGACATTTGGGGCCTCCATCGGTAGTGGGAGGCATGATTTCCTTCTCCACAGTGGCCCGTGGTGCCAGTCTGCGAGGCGGGCTGCTGAGCCTCGAACCAGTCGTCGGTTATCGGCCTATGCCGTGCTCACTTCAGCTGAACGTCTGCTCAGCTATGGCTATGGCGGTGGCGATGCACTAAGGGCTTTACAGACATACAGATGATTGTTAATTGGCTTGCATATTCACATTGGATCACATTGCACGCTCATTATGGGCACTTTTCTGCTTGTTTTCGAGTGTTGGCTTTTG